GATTATAAAGATTCTTAACTTTTTCCACACAGCTGGTAGTTGTAAAGATCCTTAACTTTTCTCTGTAGATACATCACCTTTTGAAACCTTAAAGGTAGTTTCTAAGACAGCTTTCAGGCTCCTCATTCCACCGGATTAGCTAAACCACCTAGACCAGTGGCCATACCAAGAAACCAACTCAACTGGAATTATAACCCCAGGAGCTGAAGAAAAACAAGAGGATGATTTCCAGAGCACTATAATTTTGAACCAAACTCAGCCAATTAGCAAACTTAATTATTTAATATCCTGCCTGTCAGACTCTCGTTAAAAACCCTATCTCTAAGGCCAGACACAGTGGCTCATGCCTGTAATCCTAGCACTCTGGGAGATCGAGGCTAGAGGATTGCCTGAATTCACAAGTTCAAGACCAGCCTGAGCAAAGTGAGATCCCACCTCAACTAAAAATAGAAAACCTATCCTGGCCTAGTGGCAGGCACTCATAGTCTCAGCTACTCAGGAGGCTGAGGCAGGAGGATGCTTGAGCCCAAGAGTTTGAGGTTGCTGTGAACTGTGATGCCATGGCACTCAGGCACTCAATCCCAGGGCCACTGAGAGAAACTCTTTCTAAAACAAACAAAACAAAACAAAACAAAACAAAATTGAAATTTTTAAGCAGGCTTTACCTCAATGTTTTATGAGAATGGATATTTTCTCTGACAGGGGAGCACTTCCCTAACTAGTGTTCTAAAACCAAAACCTGTCGATGAAATCCTAATGAGCTTATACATAGGAATATAAGGGTTGATGGAGCTCAAGTGAAAGTTTGGAGAAGTAGTACATTTGAACAGACTTTATGTGACGTAGTTGCACAGAATATATTATGGAGATGGACGGTGTATCAGTGTTTCCCCTCACCAGTATTGTAAATCCACCCTTCAAGCAACATAACTTGGACATGCTAACTCGGAACCAGTAAAATCGATCCAGCTCATGCAGTATAGAATAGAACCTGGAATGCTGATACAGAAAAATTTCTGTGTAGTAGTGCTAAGTGGGGTATAATAGGCAAAGGCCTGTGAGTGCCTCCTGGTGGTAACTACTAGGACTTTGGACTAGAGAATTCCCATTTGAGTGGCAATTACTACCAGCTTGTTATTAGACGTCATTGAAAGTGCTCCTATGATTGAAAGATATAAAGTAATTTTGAAACCTAAAATACCCATGATGTCTTAGGCGACGGAGTCATGCTCTAATGGGGAGAGCAGTGCCCAGAGGAGTTCCACAATGAAATGGAAATCGTT